TCTAAAACAACTGTTTGAAAAGAACAATTTCAAAAAAGTTTTCAAAACTGAGTAATGACATTCCCATGAAGAATATAGGTTACTAACTTCCAAATGAATCATCTGACAGTAAGTTCCTTCTTTTAATACTCTATTTTTAGCATCTAAATAAGTATCTAATTCTCAAAATAAATCCACAACATTTAAGACAACTTAAGTAAAGGAAGGGTATTAGATAAAAACATCATTGCAACAGAACTTCATCAATTTAATAACAAATAAGATCATTTTTGCAGTAAAACAAGGCAGTGAAACAACAGATCCCCATCTTCGAAAGAAAAAAATAATCAAAGGTCACTAAAGGGCAGTTTCAATGAACCAGATGAAATATTAAGTGGCACTCACTGTTTATCTCTTTCACAGAATGTCAGCTTCAGTAGAAAGTAAGAAGGAAAACATTACATTCACTACACCGAGAATATTCTTCTCATCTCTTTATTAAGTCCTCAAGATAAACTCCATTTAGCTCTTTTTCCAGTGTACATGGTGACCCTCAGAATAAATATTGCTTTTTTATCTAGTTTTACTCTCAAATTGAGGGGGCTACCTTAGCAATGTTTGCCAGTATTTTTTAGGTTTCTTTAATGCCAAGAAGAAAATGATCTTAAATCCCATAATTTTAAAGATTTTATGATCAAAAATAAATCACAGCTATTTACAAGGAAACAGGATTTCGACCTTGCTCCTTTTGGTCTTTCATGCCATTTTTCTCTGTTGTAGTATCCGAAATCATTGCTAATCTAATTATGCACAAGATTCCTGTTTTCTGCAACTATTTTACTAGGAGGATATTGGGATGAAATTACTTTAAATACAGCCAACTCCCCACACTCAACAATTGATTATCTAGTGTATGGATTATTCATTACCCTTAATGCCTAGTAAAGCCATTCTCTGGTCATTTTTTGCAGTTCCTGGGATGGAAAGGAACTGAAATTCAAAAGATTCAAATTTGATAACCTTATTAGCACATATGATAGAAGTCCTGAAGAGGAGAATGAAAGGATTGTTTAAATTGAGGCTTTGCATGTCAATTACCGTCTCTGCACCGACCTGCCAATACCAGTATCATCAATCATGCCTCTGCCCAGCTGAACAGAACTGGAGATACAACAAAACATGCTCTGCTCAGTGAGAGGCTACCCCATTATTATTCCACCTCTTTTGGTTTTATTTGACAGGAGAAGGGTATGTGAGCAGGATGGGGGAGCACAGAGTAAATACTAGTCATTAGTTTCCCTTGAGAACCTTCCAGTGCTAGAAACAAAGCAGGAGCTCATTAAGTGTTGTGCAAATCAATGCTAACAGCCAGAAGACCATGCAAAACATGAAAATGCTCAAGATAAAGTTTCTTTATCTGGACCTTCTCATCTAAGTTCATCCATTGTACACTTTTCACAATTATCCTGCATTTTCCTTAGATTCTCCCTTAGACGTCTTATCTGCTTCTCCATTTAAGTATGAACTCCATGACTTCATAGCCTGTGTGCTATATTTCTTTGTGGTGTATACTAAAAATTCCTTCAATAAATGCACTCACAACTCCATAAGAAAAGCTACATATTGTCTCACCTACAACTGACTTCTACCTTTTTTACTACATAGGCATCTAATAAAACAGCTTATGATTACAGAAATTTATACTCAAGAGGATACTGATTCACACCCTTGATTTTTATGGCTAATTAAGTCAAAACATCATCTGCCATTCAAATGGATCATATCCCACTGCGAATGTAAGAACTGATAACTGCTGTTACTTAATTCGTTTTTACCTTCCTGAGTACAAACGTCAATAGTTTTGAAGTTTTGAAACTTGCCATGTGCTGGACCAGAAGAAAATATGCAGGTACCTATTTGTAATTGCTTTGGACATACCGGTATGTATCTTCTAGTTACTTTTTAGGCTCAAGAAAAGTAGTCTAATTGGAAAGATGCCTATTAATAGCATCTAATCTTATAAAAGCATTCTCTAAAGAATTTTCAAGCACTGTAGTTTTATCCTTAGTTTCTTGAGTATATGTGACAACATTAAACTGCAAACCTATAGGTTTGTGTCTTGGGAGATACCCATACAGGTTAACTACTTAAAAACTTTATTTTGTTAGTCCTAAGAAGCAATCCAGCATGGAGAGTCACTATAAAAAGAATTTGAAATTCACTACAAAATGAAACTTGAAAGAACTGTTTTATAAAACAAACATGCATACAACATACTGTCCACATGCATAGTAAGGGCTCAGTGGGCTAACTGTACAAAGCACTGTGACTGGGTGACATTGGACAGGGAGCCAGCAAACACTCTGGGCTTGCAATAACTGTTGATGGAAGGAAGAAAGACATAAGGCCGCAGAACTGGACACCCCAGCAGCCAGAGATCCCATGGAGGGTGTGGAAGACACGGGACACAACCCTAAAGTAAGGCTGTCTTGTTAGGTAGGCTCTATCTCTCACTACTTGGTGGTGGTGTATGTGTGTGGGGGAGGGGAGGTGGGACAGCAGGTTTTTAGAAACCTGTGTAGATCAAAAAATGTTACTATAAGGTAGGGGAGTTGGGGAGCAGGCTGAAAGGAAAGTGTGTGGTCTCAAATATATATGGTCTGGGCAGACATATATGAAGTAAGAGAAAGATGCTATGCGCTTCCCATCAGAATGATATGTCTTTGATGCACGTTTATTTGCAACCAAATCCTAACATGAACATTGGGCATTCTCAGCATTGACTGATAATTCGTGCTAGAGTTTAAGCTTATTTGATACTCTTAAAAAAAACTCCAATCCTGCATCATTTTTCTGAAAGATTGATCCTCTTTGGGGGCACTTGATGGGATGAGCACTGGGTGTTATTCTGTACGTTGGTAAATTGAACACCAATAAAAATAAATTTATTATAAAAAAAAAGATTGATCCTCTTTTGATCTGGAAGCATAAACAAATGTCACTCCTGTATTTCTCCAAAGGGAAGAACTATGGGAAATAAAGATCAACTGTCAAGGACATGCCCCTGGGACAGTATGTCAAAGCTGAAAACCAATTTTCTTCAGTAAGTCAAACGTGAAAACAGAATAAAATACTACAAATTTTGATGTACAGGCAGCTTTTTAAGGATTTCCCCTCTAGCTCCCTATGTCAGAAATTGTAATATTGCCCTCAGCCAATTATTTCTAAGAACCATATAAATTTACACACTGTATTATGCCTCCATTTCTCTTCATGGGGCTACTGTATCCCCTATTACATTAAGAGATAAAGGGCACAATCTTTTGTAGTATTGCATAAACAAGTCGTCCCTCCCTTTACAAGTCACCCCTTTTCTCTACAATAACCTCATTATTTTTCACAAGTCAAGTGTACAGTATTTGCTTCATTTCCCAACTAAAACCAACACATGCACATTCATAGTGCCTTTCCCTTTAATGTTAATTTTGATGGAGCATCTATGATGGAAATCCTAAAGCCACACACTCACGCATCTAGTCTTTAACAGAAACCTGACAGCGGTTGATCTAAAACCAAACAATCATAAAAGAACAACCTTTGGCAAAGGCCAAGGGAATCAAAATTACACCCTCTGATGACCACAGCACTACTGTATCCACCCTTGAAACATTTTTGCTTCAAACATTACAACCCACCCATTTACTCAAACCGCAGCTTATTCCTGATTTAGAAGAGCAGAGTTCGTGGACTTACTAAACTGCACAACTCCAACCAGAAAGCACCATGCCTCTTTTCTGCATGGCAATTATACACCACGTCTAAACTAAAAACCTGTATATTGAAGCTCAGGACCAGCAGACCACTGTTGACACCCTTCCTGAGATAAAAACAATTGCCATCTCCTAAGAGCATTAACCAGTCCCTCTTGTGCCCCAGTGTAATAGAGAAGAATGAATTGTTTCACACACATTATCCATCAGGAGCTGCGTTAAATTCTCAGTCAGCGGGATAGAAACACTGTGCCCATCAGCATTTAACTTAGTTTATTCTGTCGGGATTCGGCAGTTTTGTCTCCCAAAAGAAGGGAAAGAACAGGTTGTGAAAGATTCCAGCGAGGTTTCTTTTTTGGCACAGGAAGAATGTGATAAACAGGGAAAACACAATCACGCGGAATGTCTGGACTAGGTGCCTTTGTAATACTTAAATAGCGCTCCCCTACTGGGCTTTGCCACAGCACCAAATGGGGGGGGGCACATTTTAGAGTTTAATAGTTCAGCCTGTACAGTAAACATTCTAAGATGAAGAACCCAGAAATTCTAAATATAAAATAGGGGTGTGTGTTAAAGAATCAGTGAAATATTTCCCTCTCTCCCACCAGGATTGATATTTTTCTTTACCCTGCGGAAGGCAAAACACACAAACTCTGAGAACAGAGACCAACACTGGTCTGCAAAGGAACTTGAAAGAAATCCAGAAACTCCCTTTTGGCCACAATATCAAGGGCAAGCCCTTCGTGTTCCTTTTCCTTGATGTCATTCTAACACCTGTTTAATTCAAGTATCTGTGGACTTCCTCAATCTTCTTTAAGAGAGACACAAGGAGACCATTCATGATTCCCAAAGTCTTCTCAGTGTACTGTCTCCGTAAAGAGCTCCAAGTCCCAACTGCAAGTTGTAAGAGAAGAAGACTCCTTCTATGAGGATGGCTTACCCCTGAACTTTGCACAAGTCTCCTCCGTGTGTGGATCTGCTGAGGAGAAGGAGGGCTGAGGACAACAGCTATCTTATCCTAGTCAGAAGGACACAATCTCAAGCTGAATCTAGTTTGAAGAGCACTATTATTTTAGACATGTAAGCATATGAATGACACCCAATTCCAACACAAAAATAAACAAACAAAGCAAAAAAACTCCTAAGGAGGCCAAAACTCACAAAGGGAAATCAGTGATATAAAACGAATTCTACATCACAAACTTCTAAGAATGTTTAAATAAAAACAACAACAAAAAAAAATCAAGTCACCTTTTCTGGGCTGGGTTCTGTAATTCCAGTTTTCATCATCTGCTTCCACCTGCTGCCCACAGACCGAGAGCTCTCCATCACTGCGAAACAGCCTCTTTGTCTGCCTGGACAAGGAGGAGAAATTTATCCAACTCACAGCACGTGAGAGAGACCCTGAATTTGACTTGAGTCTGAACGAGCCTTCCTTTTTCATCTTCTTTCACATCAAAATCGACTACGAAGGACAGCCCAGCAAACAAGAAGCTCGGTTTTACAATCCTTCCGTGTCCTTTTAAACAAACCTGCTCCTTCCCACTTATTCAATGTTGAGAGTCAGGCACAGCATGATGCAGAGAGACTGCTTCTATGTCACCCAATTACAAAGAAAAGGAGAGAGGGGTAGGAAATAAACAAACAAAAAAAAATTTATCCTAGCCACATTGTGGCACTTGGTTTGGCATAATTTTAAAAATGAAGCAGGGTGTTCATTTCAGGAACACTTGTCAGGACTTGGAGAAGAACAGAACCAAAGCACTCGGACTCTTTGGTGTGTGCCCGGCATCCCATACTGTAATCCTGCTCCTGTCCCAGGCATCCTTCCCCACTCGCTGGGGCAGAGAGCAGCAGGGACAGCCGCCTGCTGCAGACAAACAGAAGCAACTCCTCAGGCTGGAGAAAGAAGTCCGGTGACACCCGGGGGCCGGTTTGAACTTCACCCACACAGGTGACTTGGGGAAAATCAAAAGAGCTCGGCTCCCTTGTCGTAGCACAGCACAGAATCATCAAGCGCCCACTTGCCCTCTTTCCCGGCTGGGAAGCGCTCAGGATCCACAGGACGCCACAAACAATAAAACAGGCTGCGTGGCTCCTGCCTGGATTACAGGGTGAGCGCTCCAGTGAAAGGCGATAGGCTTTCCCCACACCCAAGGCACCCCATTGGAGGCAGAAAACCCCGCCTCCTCTCCACAGGCAATACTTCGGTGGCAGCTCAAACTTCTGAACTCCAGCAAAGCTGGGAAATACAAGCCTGAGCAGAATACAGACTTCTGGAAATTTAAATAGAAAAGAAAAAAGAAAGAAAAAAAAAAAAAGAAAAGAAGAAAAGAAAAAGAAAAGAAAAGAAAAGAAAAGAACTTGATTATTAATCATCAGACCACATTTCTGAAGGCAGGATTTTGAGAAGGGAGTTTAAGAGAGCATATGGTTTTATAGACATCAAGCATTCCTTGACTGATGGAGGGATGTCATCTAAGAAAATGTATTTCCGAAGAGAATTCAACTGACTCAGCTATTCCTTCACTCCTGGCTCTCCACAAAGGTGAAATGCAGCCAGTCTTGCACCTGCTGCTTCCACCAGCAGCCAGAGTGTGGGGTGGGGCGGAGGACCTACTGCCTCCCCCACTGGCAGTCCCTATGGATCATTCCTCTTCAGCTTTGAAAGACCTTCCTATCATGGAGAACCATCATCTGAGAGCTATGTTAGCTGCAGGCTCCAGCGTCGAGACTCATAAAACCATTAATCATGACATGCAAAACATCTAGAGCCATATGTTGGAATGTACTGGGTGCTGCATTTCCCCCAAGGCCAACAAAATTCCAGGATCCTGCGGGCGTTAAAAGTCCCCATAACTTTCCATCACAGAGACTTGAGTCAGGCATTCCCTCCCCAAAGTGTTATTCAGAGTAAGGCTAATAAGCAACAAGCAGAGAACTGGGTCCATCTCACTGTACTCAGCACTTAGCAAACATTAAGACTAACACGGTGTAACAGAAAATAAACTTTGATTAAAAACTATAGAAGAGGGATTTTGTATCATACATCTACCACAATCCACTGAGATTTTAAGAAAAAGGCTCTAAAAGCTTATAAGACAGACAGTAGTAGAAGAAAAACAGAGCTGTTGAGAAATGTTCCCTGGATGGAAGTTCACGTTACCGCAGAAACCATGACACAGAACAGGTCCTGTGGACTAAGGGCAAAGCTAAAGTAGTCTAGGGAAAACAGATATGGGCTCAGCTTAAAGCTAAGGATCCTCACGAGCTCACGTAGTATAAACCCCTCAATTCACAGGTGAAGAAATCCAGGCCCAGAGAAGGCATATGACATACCCAATATCACATAGAGAAGTCAGTAATGGGACCAGGTCATGGCAGACACCACCAGATTCAAAGTTTTGCCACTTACTGGGGCAGTACCTCACCAAGCACTCTGAGCTACTAAATTGGAATGATACCTCTACTTTGATCATTTCCATAAAGGCGAAAATCATATAATGATGCAAAGCACCAGTGCCTGTAAAAGTTCTAACACCTAACATCCTTTTTTTTTTTTTAGATTTTCTTTCTGAGTCAAAGACACTTTTGAGAATCTCAAAATATAAAGTAAAAAGTTAAAAAACAAAGAACATGGTGCCAGAAAATATAAAAACATCCTGAATGCTGCCTTCCATTTCAGAGGCTCATGGTAACCCCTGACATCTGCACATGCATTCTCTGAGGATCCATGGACCTCCCCCAAAAAGAATACCGTTGGTTCCCTCTCTGGTGTCTACATCCTACAGCTATATTTTTAATTTAGAAATACCTAAGCTCTGAAATAAAGCTGTTCTTTATATTCAGGAAGTCCTGTTGAATGCTTTTCCAGCCCACCCCACCTTGGAGTGTGTACACCTGCATACACAATAGCATAGATGGATTGGTGTCAGTGGTAAGCAGTGTGTTTTTGTCCAGTACCTCCTATCCTTACACACAGCCAACAGCAAGCCCATGACAGGGCGTGGAGGAACATCCGCTGCCAAGCAGCCAAGCAGGCTAACTGGTCCATTCAGGGACTAGACTCACAACTCTCCTTCAAAGTAAGTTACACACTTATGCTGGACTTCCAACTTAATATATTTCCCATTATTCATGAGACCTATGGATATGTCTGCACAAAAACAAATTCTCTATTGACTAGCTATTCCACACTTCTGTGATATGGGCCCTTGATGAGGAAAATCTTCATTTATGTAAAAGAAGATCAAATAAATTAACTACCAGTACCACTGAATCAGAATTCCTCTATGGCCAAGATAGAAGAACATAATGGTTTAAATTAGCTTTGGAGGAAACATTGAGATTTTCAGTATCCATGCTAGGTATGCGCTCCAATTAGCTTAGAAAATCATAAGTGGGCTGCTTGAAAAGCTATTACATTAATTCAAACTATATTTATTTAGCAACTATGAAACATATACCTTAATCATCCAGATCCCAGAGCCATATAAATCTACCACTCCCAGCAGCAGGGTCAGAATTACTTTGTGCAGGGCACTTCGTGTATAAAATTGCGAATCTTTACAGTAATCTTTACAGTAAACCTGCCATGGAAAAATCCCTTTTGGAGAAAGCCTGTTTCTTGAAATGTAATTGTTGGTGTAATAAAACATCTTAATTCAACATTTTTCCCCATGAAAATCTACAATAGAATACACTCTTATCAACTCTTATCAGACTTTTGAACCAGACCTGCTGCACAGATTTTTGTCTGCATCCCTTACCGTGTGTGTGGGTTTTTTTTTTTTTTTTTTTTGTCTCCTCTCTCACTGTCAGGCTGTCAAACTGAAACTTCTGTTGTCATTATATGTGCCAATAACTGCTCCCTGCCTACCACCTCGCCCCTGCTGGATGTCAGGCATAGAGGAATCAGATAAATAATCTTGCTTCAATTGTACGTTTACTGGGAGTTGATAAGCACACATAGAACAAAAGACATAGCTTTATACAAGGGCTTTGCCACAGCTGCCTCCTGGCCAGCACCCTCACCCTTTGCCCGGTGAGGTGGGTGTCTAATGGTTGAAATGGCTGGAGGGGCAGTCTCTGGATAACAGCCCCCAGGGGGATCTACACCAGGTTTATGACTCACTTATTGCCTCTTTTGTATTAAGTTCTTAACGTTTAAGGGTAGTGAGAAATTTATTCATCACTAATGACAAAAGGACAAAAAATTGTATTATTTCAGGAACAATTCAAGTCAGACATTAAAGAAATGTTAACTATAAAAACTAGGAGGCAGGGGACCCCTGGGTGGCTCAGTGGTTGAGCATCTATCTTTGGCTTGGGTCATGATCCCGAGGTCCTGAGATTGATCCTGCATTAGGCTCCTCACAGGGAGTCTGCTTCTCCCTCTGCCGCCTATGTCTCTGCCTCTCTCCGTGTGTCTCTCATGAATAAATAAATAAAATATTTTTAAAAAGCAAAAAAACTGGGAGGCACCAGAATATATTACTAAAGGAAGTTCTGGGATCATCATCTTCTTTGGGAACTCCTAAGTCAAATATCCATTAATTCAGAAAGATTTATTTATGTTTCTACCCCAGAGTCAAATGGATAGATTGAATACGTTTGGAAAGTCCTTGCCAAAAGACATAATATTTCCTGTTTTAATATATGCTGACATCCTTAAAAAGGAGTTTCACTCAAATGGAAGTCTTTGATTCAGTAAAAATTGTTAAACGTGACAAGACACAGGATTAGACAGACCCCTCAACCCACCCAGGCGTGTAATTGCCCCATTTGCCATCTGTGTAAAATGCCAGCCAAGAGTAGGAAGTTATTTCAAATGCCATCATTTTTTTGGCCTCAAAGGCCACAGTGAGCACTGTGACTTTTCGGTTGCCATGTGTACCTTTCCTGCCCTGACCCCACCCTTCCAGCCTGGAAGGAGGAATGAGAGAGGCAGAACCTTGAAATTAGAAATGAGTAGAGAACAGTGTGCAGTGGTGGAGCTGGTGAGGTTGGTTGGTTTGGCTGGCAGTGGGGTGCAAACATGGAAAGCCACCAACAGAGACAAAGGTGACACAGCAGTGAGAAGAGTCGCTCTAAACCGTGTCATGTTCTAAAGCAGCCCTGACCGGGTAGGAGCAGTGAAGTGTGACCCTATCAGATTACCACATGAATCACTCAGACAACCTACGGGGACCTTTGGCGTCTAGGACAGGGTACAGTAGGTTTTCCAACTGTCAGCTCTTATAAATAATTTAGGAGTAGATTTAAATGCAAACTTTCTATGAGGCAATTTGCACACGCTCATAATGAAAGCTTGTCTCAACATCTCGAAGTAAACAATTTGAGCCAGACATTTATTTTTTTTAAAGATTTTTTATTTATTTATTCATGATAGTCACAGAGAGAGAGAGAGGCAGAGACACAGGCAGAGGGAGAAGCAGGCTCCATGCAGGGAGCCCGACGCAGGACTCGATCCCGGGTCTCCAGGATCACACCCTGGGCCAAAGGCAGGCGCCAAACCACTGCACCACCCAGGGATCCCGAGCCAGACATTTATAACGAGAAAACAAAACAAAACAAAAAACCAACAGCATATGACCCCCAGGGCCACCGGGAGCCAACTCCCACAGTACACTAAATCCACCTTGTCATCCACCTCCCAACCCCTAAGGAATTAAACTGATTTACTCAAGAAGGAAGTCATGGAAGACAAAACCCTGCCAATTCCCTACTCAGAGACAGGGTTCCCTCACCTACCACTGCTTCAGTATTTGGAAGAGAGAAAAAGCACTGCCTTTTTATTACGCTCGAGCTTTAAGAGACAGAGTTTGTTCCTGTCCGTGAAATGAATGTGTCGCTCCCCTCAAATAGAAGCTTAAATGTGAACATTTGTAATCATATATCACTACCAGCCTCAATCCCACCTTTCAATGTCTTCATATCCGAAAGGGACTCCTGAAGCGATCTGACACTGGAAGCCTTCACCAGGCGGCTCCCATGGGGTCACCTGACCTGGGAGCAATATGGCAGCACGTGACCATCAGCCCCCTGGGGCCATCAGCC